TTTTTTTTTTTTTTTTTTTTTGTCATGTGCTTTTCTAAAAGCTGTATCTTCACAAAATGAATGGATGTTTTGTTATAGCATGCTCTGCTCAGGTTTGCAGTTACCATGTGGACTAGCGAAGTATGACTGATGTGAACCCGAAGTTGATCCTGTAACAGTGCACGGGCTCTCAATGTAATTTGATGCTTTAGGGAATGTAGTTTTGGCTTTTAGATACAAATGCAGCATTTCTACTTTAGAGTACGTCAAAGACTCCTTGCAGACTAAACATTCAAGCAGGTGCAAAGCACTGAGTAGCTGACTTGAGCTACTGGCGTCTTTCAGCAGAAAGAGGTTGAAGGGGACCCTAATTATTTCCCTTGAAGTGTGCCCCACTTCCATGTTGTTTTGAGAGAAATAAATTCCACATCGAAAAATGCCTTAAAGTGGCCCAAAACCCACCGCCCCTGCCCCCCCAAAAAAAGACATTTTCCCTTCCACATGCATAATTTATGGAGGAATCATCATGGAAGCTTATGGAAGCTTGGTCATCTGTTTCTTCATATCCAACAGGCAGGAACTTAAATACATGTGACATACTTGGCACTTTTGGCCCTTTGTATGCTACTGCATTGCAAGTGAGTCATGATATTCAGAAAAGGAAAGGGTCTTGCAAATGTCTGGAAAGTAGCAGGGCATTTTATTCTATTGCAGAGCTCTGGCACAGCAGTTCTTTCATGTCTGTGTTTTCAGACTCCCTGTCCATAAATGGTGAGGAACCAACTGGAGTTGTGATTTCAAACAACATTTTAAAGAACGAGCATGGTAATAATTTGCACATTGTAGGTCGGATTTGAGCTTGTGCTCTAAGACTCTTGATTTTGACCGTCTGGAATTACGTGTGGTTCTCTATATTCTTGGTTTGTGTCTTTCTCAGCCCTTCCTTGCTTTGTGATCTGCTGCATATAACCTGAATCTTGACCCGTCCAGGTCAAGAACAGCCTTGCATAACTCACTTCAGTGGGGCCCACATCGTGGCTTGCAGCTCTGAGKCATGTGCACAGAATTTAGAAGTTACCAGGGTGACCTTCATGGCTGAGTTAAGGTTRAGGGTAGCTGCTTCAAATGTTGAGTATTCTAAGCAGACTAAATTTAGCATTAAGGTGTTGGTTTTTGGTTTTCATCATAATTCCTTTTTGTAATTAGTTTGATTCTGTGTTTTGCTACTGYCCTTACTTGTGTAACATCTAGCTGTTACACCTTCTGTTGCAACCTTCTGCATTTCTGTTGCAAGTGACATGTGAACACAAGTGCATGGGTTAGCAGCTCCAATTTTTGGTGCACGCTTACCTTGAGGTGTAAGCAGTGCAGTTAGGTGGTGGACAGACCATCATCTCCTATATATGGTGTCAGATAAATATCTTTAGGTTGGTCTTATCAATCACTGCATTACAAAAACTCTACTTATATGCTCTTTCTGGAAAGAATTGAGTATGTGATGCTGGACTCRCATAGCAATGAGTACAAAAGAATATTAACTGCATGTAATATATTGTWTATATGTGAATTTGTTCAGCATATATGTATTTGCATTATTGCATGGTATACAAGTTCAGTCCTCTTGAGTGTGCCTGGATGTTAAGAAAGGTTCTGAAAGCTGCAGTGAAAACAATCCTTGGTAGTTGCAAGGTGTGGAGACAAGTTTCTTGCTGATAGGCTTTACTGTGTTCCATGCTGCCAGCATGCCATTAACTGGAATAATGCAAACTAAGTTCCATGTGTAGGCACTTCTCTATCAAACTGCTAAGCTATGACRCAGCTAGTCTTAATTGCGCTGTTTTCTTAAACTGCTAAAAACGTACTTTGTGTTTCACTAGAATTGCTCTACTGTTGACTTTGTCCACAGGTCATGTTTCATTAAAAGTGCTGAGGAGCACCCAGAACTCTGAAGACAGCAATTCTGTGCAAGATAAGATGTTCCTTAAAGAAGCCGATGGAGGATAGAGCTCCAGAGCACCTGGCAGACACTGACAGCATAAGATGACGCCATAGTCTAGACTGAAATAGTAAGTCTAAGAAAGAGTAGTTATCCTACCCTTTACAAGAAGTTATTGCAGCTAAGAAGTTTGATAGTGAGCCAGAGTCTGCTTTCAGGACCTGTGCAAATGACTTTTTTCTAGTCATTATTTATCTAGTCATAGATATTCTGTAAACGCAGGTGTAAATTAAATCTGTGCTCTTTAGAGGTAACAGAGTGACTTTACCTGATGAACTTGAGTGGCAGCTGTCACATTTTTAGAACTGCTAAGAAAGCTAGGAAATAGATTAAGTTCTGCAGCACTACTAAAACTATTGGTTCTGAAGGACTCTCCATTTCCACAGCTGTAAGTTCATAAGGTATTGGTTTGTTTGCAGCAGGTTCTATTTAGAAGATGCAGTTGTCAACAGTCATGAAACTATTAACATCATGGAATATGCAAAATATTTCATGTGAATGATACCTGTACCCTTCCAGAGTCTTTTCCCACTGAGGCTTTTGCAGTACAGGGAGCAGTTTACAAGTCAGGAGGCTAGAAAATTAATACTGCATATTGCACCTGAAGTACATTACACTGTTGTAAGTCTGTATTAAATACAAAAATAACACAATGCTTGGCAAATATAAGATTGATAATTACTATTGGGAAAAAATCAGCATAATAGATCTGTCACTGCAAAACAGAAATCTAGTGAATTTAGGTGCGATTTAGGTYGATTTAGGAAGAATTCTCTCAGGCTTCTATTTGCTTTCACCTTCATTAAACAATTCTTGTAAGAAAGAGTAAATGCAGAAAGTAATCTCACCAAATATGTTTCTATTTATAAGTGAACAGGGATCAAATTCTGTCATTTGTTCCTGTGATCTTGAGAAATGCAGAAGTTAAATAGATTTGTTTGTGAAACGGACAGCTAATTTACCTACAGAAACGCACTAACAATAATGTAACGAGCTTACTTTCCATATGCACATGCCTTTACCAGAGCCAGACATTGAATGGGGAGAGGTGCACAACTGTAAATATTCAGAACAGGCTATTCTGGTAGTTTCCTCTCTATATAAACACTTTTATGTAAAAGTTACTATTGTAGATAGTTGGGGATATTGCACCTAAACCTAGAGGACCTGAACACTAAAACAGAAGAAGAAACTCAGTACATCTTTAAACACAGATGTTTAAAGTGCTTGTGTTTCAGTAAAGATACATGTTTTAAGCTGTAAACCCACTGCAGTAAGCTCAGGATTTTTTCCCCTTTTTTCCTTTTTTTTCCCCTTATGTATCCACTCCTATTTGTTTCATATTTATGTACAGCAATAATCATTTTGCACAGTGACAGGATACTTTCTAATTAGAGCTGTAGCTTTTTCTTCAGGTAATGATGCATCTTAATGTTAACAGCACAGCAAAAATACTCTGTGCTATATGTCACTTTTTGATGCCCATGCAATTTAAATCAGCAGAGGCATACCTAAAAAGCAATCTTGTTGAATCCTCTGAATTTTTCATGTCCGGAGATGCACACCTCTGCTCAAAATTTAAACGGAGCAGTTAATGTATATTATATGTATATTATATGTCATTAAGATGCTAAATATGTATATGTATATTATATGTCATTAAGATGCTAAAAAATGGTATAGGGATAGTACTAGGCTCTAAATTTAATCCCAGTAAAAGTGTAAAACTACTTAAAATCAAAAATCAGTGGAAGTGTAGACGTGGGACAGTGGGGCTGTTGCGTGCAATCAACAAAAAGGATGCTTGAGGGGAGTTCTTAAAAATGATGAAAATCACTATACATTTTTGATTACTTTTGTAGTAAAAAAGCATTGCAAATCATGTTTTTGTCAATTTTTTTTTTTTTGTCAAACACTCCAAAGTGTCTGACACTGGAGTATTTGCACTCTGGGGCTACGTTCACCTACTGAAACATTGTAAACAGAAGTCAAAGGAAGTATTTCAACAAGTTCAGCATTAATCTGCAAATTAAAAATATTCTAAAATCGTGGTTACCCTTTTTAAAAAGTGGAAATTGAAGTTTAAATTAAAAATGTTTTAGAAAATAGTGATTTTACTGAAGAGATTTTTTTTATATATATATATATACATATATGATCATACTGTTTCAGTTATTCAGTCTGCCTACAATTCTATTTAAATTTTTCCTTTTAMTGTAACTTACTCAAATTATTTGACTTTCTTAGAAGGAAAAACTTGTACTTCTCGAAGGACTCCAAGCTAACAGGGCCATTTGTATTCATTAATATTAATTCTGTGCATAGTTTCTTTTTAATTTTACAACTGCAGCATACTTATGCTACCATTTTAATGTATAGTCTATCCCTGATGATTTCACCTCTTGGTGAGAAGACTTAGATGAATTTGGAGGATGAATCTATTTGTATGGAGATATACTTTTGTTTTGGGTATATTTGACTCGTTCTGAAGTTTCATTCAGTTCATGCCTCTGTTTCCCTTTACTGGCCTCAGTCATGCTGCAACAGTCTAGCCAGCAGGTCTCAGTGTTTAATATTGTGGGTCTTTAACCAAGGTCTTTTACTTCTTTTTTTTTGTTTGTTTGTTTTTTTTTTGTTTTGTTTTGTTTTTGTTTTTAAGTAAGGTAAAGATAGATCAGTATCTGCTTTACGTTTTAGGTTTTCTGTCACATTGTATCTGAAGGCTGTACTTTTTCCAAAGAACAGGGATGCAAGTGATACCATGAAAACTGTATCACAGTTTTCACAGTGCCTCACAACCAGGCACTTCCTTCTTCATCAGGCCTTTAGTTTGTGTCTTCTCAGTGCAAGCCTCAAGGAGTGTTTTGCTTCTCTGAACAGGCTGCACTTGTTCATCATTCTGTTCTTCTTTACATCATCAGCCTATTAAACAATTCTCCAGTCTTACAACTGCAGCAGGAGAAATATTCTCATATCTCTGATTCTCTAGAGACTGAGTTTGAAGGTGCTTTACCATATCCAGAGCATCCATTCATTTCCAGATTGACATCTGAATTTCTCCCTAGTATTGCCCTAGGATGAGCTATCTCATGTGGAAGAATTTGTCCGCATCTCCTATCCTGAGGAGGTAAGGTAAGCTCAATTTTTGTAAATCATTCATCATCTCTTCTCTAAAACCTAGCCTAGATGCTCTTGCAACCAGACATCTGGCAGGACAGGAATCTCTACAGGTCCCTGGAAGGCAGCTCCCTCTGCCTTCTCTTGCAAATGCCAAACAACCCAAAAGGAGCCAGAACCAGTTCATCTTGCATCGTTCAAGTTCTAGCCAGCCTATTAGCTGTTCCTCAATGTCATGGTTCTTTTGCTTCTCATGTTACTAGTTGGCCTTGCAAGAAATTTTGAGCCTCTAGGCATAGAAATTTAGAGCATGACTTCTATTACAGAATTATCTCGGGCATTGCTTTACACACAAGCTTCTTTGAGAGATTTGGTAACCCTTTAAAACCAACCTTGCTGCATCTGCTGCTTTTAACAGATTTCCTTTTAGACTGGTGATTTGCCTTGTTTGCASTGGCTTTCCCATATATAATACTAGTGGCTTTCCAGTGTCACTAGATCTTGCAGAGATGGAAATTACCTGGGAAATGGGCTTGACCCATCCCTGCAATCTCTGAAGAAAAGTTTTGCACTGGTACTGCTGCATTTGTGGACTAGCTCTAGGACATTGTACTGCAAGAATTGAACTAACACTTGAGACTGTTAACAGACCTAAACGTCACTTGGAAATTTTTTTTTTTTAAACTGAAGTTTGTTATTGCATATTTAATTACTCATATGTGACCTATGTATTGAGCCAACGTGAAAATGAGATTACGTCTTTTTTTTTCCAGAATTCTACACCCCAGAAGGTGGCAGTCCTGGTGCTTTCTGTCCTGAGCACAGAGACAACCATTTCCTTTGTCCCCRCAGAGAGTTGTTGCTCTGGGAAAATGTGTTCTGTTTGTAATGCCAGCAGTGGCAGGAGTCACTAAATGGCATCTTGGAGATCATTAGGAATGCTTTGAAAATACTGACATTTTAAAAAGGTACAGAGAGCTTTTACAAGGGGCAATGAATAAAACCAAAATTACTGAAAAATATGCTAAGAAATTTGCATAGTGGGGAGAGGGTCTTTGTTCTTGGATATATCTCTAAGGTGCTAAAAATTTTCATAACAGATGACATGTAATCTGTAAAAGCAGGTCATTCCAATTACTAGCTTGTTTYTTCCCTCCAATGCCAAAAGCCTCTTAGCAACCAGCAGCATTTCAGACCTCTTCAGGTAGAGGTGAATGTTTTATGAGTGTGAAATCAAGGGAAAAGCTCCAGTGGAGAATAGCAGGCTTAGGAAGCCCTTGGAAGACAGGATTCCTAAAGTTTAGCTGCTCTTAAACAGCCTTTTTGGGCAGAGAGGCAGGCAGACAGATGCTTGTCTAATTACAATATTGTATCTTGTAGCCCTGTTCCTGCCTCCCACCAGCTCGCCAGGATTGCAATTTTACTTCATGTGTACAGAATGAAAATAGTGAATTAATGGTAATGAGATCGGGAAGGAAGTAGCCAAGAGGTTTCTCTTCCAAATGGCACCTGGGAGTACAACAGTCCCTTGATGTCGCTCTGTTCTCCCAGCTGGTGTTGGAAAATCGCCTTCTCCCAAGTAGTGCATGGGTTGTAAGTTGACAGTTGTTGTGTGCAGATGTAGAGACAGCCCCATAGGCTTCTCCACAGAATCACACTGGAGATTTGTCTTAAAACTTTGCTGGTTATGACCCAAAAGATGGGTAGCCTGATTTCCCTGCATATATTCCATGTGTTCAGTAGTTCATTAGATTTTTGCATGTCTGAATGCAGCTCATGCGACTAAAACTCTTGCTATACAAAATACAGGCTTATGGTACTGTTGAAAACAAATAAATAAAAATAACAGTTGAGCTCCTGTAGGCCTGTTAATGACAGTACGAGTCCTTAGGGGCTTGAGGTTTCATTTTTCTCCACACTTGCAAGACTTATGTCGTATTGTCTAGGCCAGGAGATTTGTAAGCAAGTTAGGCCTTCTGAGAGAGTACTTGTTTTGCCAAAGATGATACTTCACCTATACTCTATTCCTTAAACATACGCTGTCTTTGAATTTGCTGTAAACTTACAGAATTACACTTGCCTGTTGGATTTTTTTCTTTTCTTCTTTTATTCACACAGGTGAATGAAACATTTATTTTTGTCTAGTATCATCCAGACATTCTGGGAAAGGGAATCCATTTTTTTCTCTGGAGCAGTACATTTTTCTGATGGTTTTGCAGAGCGAGTTTTTCTMTTTCAGTAGGAGTGCACTTTACCACCCTGGGGCTTAGATTTCTCTCCTTCCTGTAGGAGTGGAGCCTCACTCACATTGGTATAAATCACTGCCACCATTCCACTACCCTGACCAAACAGTTTCCTCCTTAAGTTTGAGAATAGCAAGCCAGAGCAGTGAAATAATTTTAGAAATAATTGGCTTGTTTCAGTCCTTTCCTAAACATGGAAATCAGAGCCTGCAAACATTCATAAGATGAAATGTTGGCACAGACTCTATSATTTTTGTGGAACTGCAGATGTGACTATTTTGTTGTGAAACTGCTGAGAGCTTTGTGAATTGCTGTAACAAATCCTGTGACTGAAGAGTGTGTACTGGCTGTTTTATTCTGCTGGTGATTGCTCCAAGTTTGCAAGCCCAAATTAGAATGGCCACCTAATTGAAGTAGTTAACTTTTAAAATAGAGAGGAGGACTTTCCTTGCATACCTTCAAGATATATAGCTTGTACTGAYATACGTGAGGAGGTGAGTGCCCCAATGCTGTGTTTATTTTAGTCCACTATTTATCATTTTAAAGCATATTTTCTGACCCTCGAGTGCTGGTAGAGGTAGTTTGTTAAAAGCATGGGCAGCACTTCATGCTAAGTAACTGTTAATGATCTGTTCATCTTGATTGTGGGTCTAATGTTACATAAAGCTTTATTTTTAACCTGAAAAATCAACTGTGCTGATGGTAAGGGGCATGGTGCTGGTTCCTTCTTTTGGACTGAGGAGGCTAATGCCTGTAAATTCAGGATTTGGGGGAAATTCTCTTTGCCTGGCAGGCTTGCTTAAAAGTCAGGTCTTGCTAACACGGTCTCTGGCTTTACTGTGTTTTGTCACAGACTACTCCTATGGATTTGTCCAGGGCCTGGGTTTTGTAAAGCTGTGCCTGTGAGAACAGCAAATGCASTGGGAAGAGGAGGCAGACCAGAGCTAGCTGGAATAGTGTCTGCTCTCTGTTGGGTATTTGCTTTACCAAAGCACTGCAGTTAATCCTGACATTGCTGGTTCTGAACAAAGCTTGAAATCAGGAGCAGATGTCCAAGGTGATATGCTGTCCTTGGGATGGGATGTTTCTGGTTGGAAATGGAGAGTTTCTTAGCTCTGCTGCCTTTTCTTACTTTTCCTTTTCAGCTGGTACCGCTCTGTGCATAGCTCATATTCTTTCCATTTGTGTCTGTCATCTTACCAGYCCAGATGATGACATCTCTCTTAGCAATGTATCTGTCTCAAAAAGAGCTCAATAAGCTTTTGCTACGAATGCAGCTATCCAGGCAAGCACCAGCTGCCCTTTTGTCCATCACATCGTTTCAGATAAGCAGCTTCTATTTGATGTTGTCCAGATACCAAAAAGCAGAGTTACTCTGTAAGCTTTGAAATCGCCTACGTTCATCATTTCTGAAGACTGTGTGGCTTAAATCCAGTGTTGTCTGTAATTCCAGTGAACAGCTTAGCTGGAAGAAGTTGGTTCAGTGTAAAACTAGTGGTAACTGAGTGCATCAGCAGAAACAAGTAGCCAGGTCAAAATGTATGAGTAATAATGAGAAAGAAATTCAAACCTCAGGGAAGGTAATTACCTGTGTCAGTTAAGGTAAATCTAGGAGGCTCAGTATGTGATCACCTGAAAATGAACATACCCCCATAAACACCTGGGGATGATGTAGAAATAACTGGGAAGCTCTATAGAAATTGCTCCATGAGACTGTTTTGAATACGTTTGTACTTTGTTACCAATGTTTAGCAGCGTTGCTTTAACACAGTAGATGATGAACCATCTAATGTGACTTTGTGAAAGAAATCTGCTCGCGTGTTTTCTGAGGTGAGGAGTAGATGCTCTGAGGTAGAATGCTGTGGTTCTTGTTTCTGTAGTCCTTTTACTATAATGCATGTGATTTGTATATCTGAAAGTATTCAGTGGGTTTAGACCCAAGAATTTCTAGCAGTGATAGAATTTTGCATGTTGTTATCAAAGTCTTCTAGTTCATAATATTTCATAGAGCCCCAAATACCATCAACAACATTGGTAACTTGTAGCTCTTACTTAGATTTGGATGAAAATATGGTTTTTCAGGCCCATGGAGGTGTTTGTAGTTGACTTTGATATTGTGGCATGCACTGTCTTTGGGGTCAAGTTTGTTTCAGCCTAGAATATTATTAGCCACTAATAGATCAGCTGTTGAGATTTCATTAGAATAAATAGTGGGGAGGAACATAATGCCTTTTTAATAAGGGGTTTTGTTGTGGATGGAAATGAACTGATGGTTACCACTATGGAGCATGTAAATAGAACTCTTTTGTTTTGGTTTTCTTTGTTCCTCTTCAGCAACTGAGAACTGTGAATATTGTGCACTCCGGTTCTGAGAATACAGCTGGTACTTGAAATTAACTTGCAACCGTTATTGGGCTTGAAAACTGCTGCATTAATCCGTCAAAGTGTTTCTAGCCCAGTTCCTGAAATATGAAACACTGGCATTGCACCTACTTGCCTGTGGCTGACGGCTTCAGTTCCTGCATGATCCTAGGAGTTGGTGATTCATAAGCCACCAGACTAGGGCTCAGGAGAAAAATCAGTATAAAATCTTTCAGGCTAGATAAAGCCTTCTTTGCTCATCAGAGTGATTTACATGGTACTGTTTTTTGTCCTACTGAAGTTTATGTTCAAGAAATGATTTCAGACCTTAGATCAGTGTAAATTTTTAAGCTTTTCGGATGTGCTAATCTCTTATGTGTCATTTTTGTAGCTGTTAATTGATAATTCTCA